AAAGTCTCCCTTTAGCAGAGTTGGCTATTTAGTGGCCAGGAGGCATCTGGTCACCTTTAACTCTTTCACTTTCAGAAAAAATAAATGCCACACAGGACTTGAAAATGGAATCAATCTCAACTAGGTATGAAATAATAAAAATACAGCTAATGTCTTCATCATTTCCTGAGCAAGCCTGTGAGGCAGAAGGGTGTTGCTTTTTTTTTCCTCCCCTATTTTGTAAGATGTATTATAGCTGACTAATCCTCCATAAATATGAAAGAATGATCGTTTCACAGCGACCAATTGACAAACTGGAACACATTTTTCATTTGAGCAGGCAAGATAAGCAGGCTGCCAGGGGCTCTGCCATCTCTGCCTCAGACAAAGCCTGTCTCAGGCAGAAGCTGCTGGTTCATTCTTGGGTCACCACTATGTTATTTTTAGTTCCCTGCATCTTCACAGGAGTTCAGATCACATCCCAAGCAGCCTCCTGTCTCAGGGACTCCTCTGAAGCCCACCTTCTCTAGCATAATTTAAAGAAATGGGTACCTCCAATTAAACCATTCCAGATGTAAATTTCTTGCCTGGAGAGCGAATTGAGAAGCGAATGGGATTCATGAATATAAATTGAGCCTCCCTTATGCTTCCGTTTTCATCTTGAAATTGAAGACTATTCACCTCCCCCACATAAATCCTTATTTGCCTTAAGTGTGTTTACTGTGGGACCCCAGTGCAGGGCTGGTAGCATATTGCTATGCATAACCAAAGCTAACTCTCACAAATCATCCTGGGATGAGGCCTGGGGAGGGAGAAGCTGCATGTAGCTGCATCTATGTTCCCGGGAAGAATGTATATAGCTATGCAGCAGGCTGTGCCCTATGTGGAGACGGGGGCGACTCAGCCTTCACATGCTCTGCCTGTCCTTGAATGGTTCCTCATTTTTCTACAAGGGAACTTTTTATTCTCTCTCTCTCTCTCTATATATATATATATATATATATATATATATATATATATATCTCCTTCTCTGTGTTTGTGTGTTTCTGACTCTATCTCTGTCTCTGTCCATATCTATCTATCTATCTATCTATCTATCCATCCATCCATCCATCCATCTATCTATCTATCTATCTATCTATCTATCTATCTATCTATCCCTGAACATCTTGTAGCTCTCTTATTTTCTCTTCACCTTAGTTTTAGTTTAGTGATGGCTAAGCCAGCACTCTCTTGTCAGCCACAATAGTTTATTCTTTAACACAATGATTCTGTAGAAGGGTGGACTCGTCTGATCCGCAAACATACAAATGAGCTTTGGACATTAGGCAGCTTTCTCCCTTGTTCTCCTTCCCTCATCTTCCTCACGTCCGCATTTTACTTTTTGTTGTTGTTGATTATTGACCTAGTTCAGTGGTTCTCAACCTTCCTAATGCTATGATGTTTTAATACTACAGTTCCTCATGCTGTCATGACCCCCCACACCAACCATGAAATTACTTTCGTTGCTACTTCATAGCTGTAATTTTGCTACTGTTATAAATCCTAATGTACATATCTATGTTTTCCAATGTTCTTAAACAACCCCTTATAAAAGGTTCTTTTATCCCCCCCAAAGGGGTTGTGACACTTTAAAAAGAACTAACCTAGTGGCTATACATAGTAAAAGGTCTATTCAGATGCCAAATGCTAAAAGTTTGCCCTCAGTTTCCAGCCAGAAATATGTCTGTTTTAGTATTCTCAATGTCATGACCTTGACAGTGAGTTCAAATTGCCTGCTCTCTGCTACAAAAACAAATGGTAAAAGAGACTATAGCTCATAATTGATTGTAACCCTCCCACAACCATTTCATTTTTTTATGTATACTACAGAGCATGCTACAAAAGACCTAATGTGGTTCAAAATAACTGGTAAGGAAATAGTAAAATACTCTCAAATTGTCTTGTCAGGGCATAACTTTCTTTTGTGTATGTGAGTTCTGTGTGTGTGTGTCTATGTCTGTGTGTGTCTGAGTATTTGTGTCTATCTGTCAGTCTGTCTATGTCTATGTGTGTCTGAGTGTGTGTTTCTGTCTTTGTCTATCTATGTCTGTGTATGTGTGTGTGAATGGATGTGTGTGTTTGTCTATGTCTGTGTGTGTCTGAGTGTGTGTGTGAATGTGTGTGTGTCTGTGTGTCTCTGACTCTCTCTGTCTCAGTCTCTGTCTCTATGTATGTGTGTGTTTCTGTGTGTGTGTGAGTGTGTGTGTGTGTGTGTGTGTGTGTAGAACAGACAATACACTTGGGTGTCATTTTTCAGAGGTTGCCACTTTTCTTTTTAATTTAGGGTCTCTCACTGGCTTGGGAATCACCTAAAAGACTAGACTGGATAGGCAGCAGGACCCAGGATCTGCCTTTCTCTGCCTCCCTGGCACTGAAATTATAAGCATGTGTCAGTGTAAGACTCTTGTGAACAGAGCCTTAGTTTACTGGAGACCCCCTGAATGAACCACCAGGAGACGAGAGATGGATACAAAATGCAAGAGGAATTTTTAATGTTCCAGCATGCTGGGGCCATTCTGCACCCCAAAAGGAGAGATGACCCTGCACAGATTGTTCAGCTGACATTTATACACTCTCTAGGGTAGAGACCATTAGGCACAATGTGATTGGCAGAACAGTGGCTTTTTAAACTGATTGGTCTTCAGGGAATGAAACAGCAAGGACCTCTCTTGTCTGTGTGTGGCCAAACCGTTCATTGTCCATGTGCTCTGGGCCCTCTCCCCACCTGCAGGTCAGTCCCCACCCTTTGTGGTCTGAGGAATGTTAATTAGCCTCTATCTTCTGGAGGGGATGGGTGCCTAAGCAGTCTATGACCTTTCTTTTCCAGGAGGGGAGGGGTCTGGTGGAATTTACCTCTTCATCAGCACACTCAGATTTTTTTTTCTCTTAAACAAGAGTTCTATGGATTGAACTCAGGTCTTCATGCTTGCAAGACACTCAGATTTTTTTTTCTTTTAAACAAGAGTTCTATGGATTGAACTCAGGTCTTCATGCTTGCAAGGCAAGCACTTGACTAAGCTATCTACCTCCCTGCCAGACCTCATGATGTAAGTTCCACCGCAGCTGGATGTATACATTAGAATGGAGGGTGTGGACATTAAAGACCAACAGAAACCATTTTAAAAGGAAGTGTATTCAGGCAGCTCCACATTTAGACCTGAGAAACACAGCTAGCATGTCATGGCCTATGTGATATTCCTTAACCCAGGTCAGGTAGGTTTGTGGTTGAGCTACACACACTTGTAGGTGTGAGCCCTTGGAGATGAGATTCTGGGGGCTACATGAAACTCTAAACACAGGAAAGAAAAGTGTTGAACATGTGTCCTGGTGAAGATAGAGCAGAAAGACAGCCACTACTCTTAATTTGATTGATGATACATGGTGTCCTTATGTGGGTTTTAAATAATTTACTAAATTAAAATCCTCTGTAATAAGGAACAGGGTGCAAAGTGGGAAGAAAAAATAAGATGACCCTCAAGGCTGTTGAAAGGGTGACTTTAGAAATACATACTGACTCAACCCCCTAGCCTCCTAATGTGGCCTGTCCCCAGACTGTTGTCTGCTGTCTTCCATGCCAGTAGCTTGCTTCAAACCAACTTGGAGAATAGAACTGGTCTTCTAAGTCAGCAACTCCCTGCAGTATCGCTCTCTGATATGCCTCATATAAATGAAGAGATATATATTTACAGAGACAAGTATTTTCTTCTGGGAAGACTAAGATTTCATCTTCCCTCATTATAAAATCACAGCATTCACAAGTACTCACCACATGCATCTGTTAACAATGTCTATACAGTCTGTGTTCTTGTTTCATTTTTAGAATCCAACTGTACCATTTATCTCAGTGTCTGTGGTAAGATTCTCCTATCTGGTCCCAATTTCTCAGTGTAAGATACTGATGCTAGCTCCGGACACACCTTGGTTTACAGCCTCAATGGATGCTGTTGTGTTTATTTACTACTGTATCGTCCTATCAAAGTCATAACTTTCTTCAACATTTATAAGAGCAGTTCTCAGTCTTCTTTTACAATGCGTTTTAAACCCCTTGTTTCTAACAAAACTAAATAAAATCTGCTCTATCAATTGAGAAAAAAGAAGAAGAGTCAACCAAATGACCCATCCAAATGAATAAAAATAGATAATTTAAAAAATATTGTATTCTATGATATCTGATGCATGTTCTTGACTATTGATTGAGTGTATTACTGGAATGTTCTCCCAGGAGCTAACTGTTGAACAGAATACTTTTCTCTTGCTGACACACCACCATCAGTGGATGTTTAATTACTCAGCATTGGAGTCGTCTTGTTCACCAGGACCTGGCCAAATAGAATGCATACTGTGTGAACAGACTGGTGGTTTCTGCATGTATAAAGCAAGTTCAGGAGAGTGGGGAAATCAGTGATAACGCCATTTAAACTAAAACATTCTTAACTATCTGAAATTATTGAGACCATTAGGGAACCCAACCATAAAAGCTATAATTTATGATGTCAAGAGAGGACCCTGTGTAATGATGAATTTATCATAGACACGTGCTCACTGGACTAGTCTGTGTAACAGTAGAAATACCAGGTTGTCATTGGCCCATCCTATGTAACAATAGAAGTATCAGACTGCTTTGTTGTTGTTGTTGAGTATTTTATACAGCAATGGAAGTGTCAGAGGAGGTTCATTGAACCATTCTTTGTAACAATAGATATATCAGAAGATTTTTATTGAACTGTTTTATGTAGCAATGGACATGTCAGTGGACCTTTTGAAGCCATAACACTGTCCACACTTCGAGGTTGTTTTAAAAACATTTTTCATTCTTAGGAAACAAACACCTGGATAACTTATCCACAGCGTGTAGACTGAGGTGTCCGAGGCTCACTTAGAAACAAGAGCTGCTCCCACCCTACACAATACCACAATTTCTTTCCATGACAGTCACTTACAATCCATTCAGAAGAATTTTGTTTTTCTCTCCTTGACAGGTTACCAGCCAGTCTTGTCTGGTCAGCAGGGCTTCCAAGGCCTGATGGGAGTACAGCAGCCAGCTCACAGCCAGGGTGTGATGAGCAGTCAGCAAGGAGCCCCGGTGCATGGTGTGATGGTCTCCTACCCAACCATGTCTTCTTATCAGGTGTGTGCCAGCATTGGGGAAAACCCAGTCCACAAACTCACACTTGTCAAAACAGAAGTTATAGGAAGTTGCAGGTGTTGAGTGTAGTAGAGTCATGGATGGTTGACCCATGCACCCATTAGTTCACTTTGAATTGAGATATAAAAGTAAACAAAAAATTGGTGTGCAAGTGTTACAAATGTCAGCGCTTTTAAATGTTATGCTGGGTTTGCTTCCATAAAACTTCTATTCATTGAAGGAAATTCTTTGATGTTCTATCCCAGAAGACCTTTGGGCACCCTGTTGAAATGATACTTGGTAGAAATTCATTGTGGCTATGTCTCCACCATATTTGTATCTACTCAAGTAAACGTCTTTCTACTGGAGTTGCAAATTATCACAGGTTTTTATGTGGTGTCTCAGAGGCATTTAAAGCACCCTGATGCAGAGACAATTCCATTCTGCAGGTCAGGGCAGATATTGAGTCTTTAACACATATTGTGTGAGCTTTTGTAATTTATAACCTGGAGCTGCCAAGAAGAAGAAATGAGGAGAGAGGAAAATGGTTTGGTCATTCAATTTAGCTGTACTTGGTGTTTCTAGCTTTAAAGACACTATACTCAAGCCTTCTATGTGGACAAAACCCCCTCCTTATGAAGGAAGATGCCAAGCTTCTTCTCATGCAAACAGAAAGGGGCATGTTTTTCCACACTGAGAGACAGCTAGGTGGGGGTCCAGATACTGTGTTGAGGCAAAGGAAGGAGCAGAGGAGAGGAGGGAGAAGAGGAGGCAAGAAGACTTCACACATGTAAGCATCTGCTGCATCCTGGAATCTCTCCCTGCCAAACTTTCAGAGGTTCTTTGACAGAGATGTACTTATTCAAATGGTCCCCATGTATGTTCAACCTATGGTTCACAGGCTACGTGCAGCCCACGATCCCTCCGAATGTAGCACAACATATTCATAAGTCATGGTACTCTGTACCAGTGTCAAGAGTCGTACAGTCAGACAGGTTAAGTGACTTTCTCCAAGTGAAATAGCTAATAAGTGATAGATATTAGGGATCTGCTCAGGGGATCTCAAACACTTGAGCAATATTTATGACACAGTCTCCTCCCTGAACACATTAAACAGTATTTTCATACTTGTGTCTCCCACAGGTGCCAATGACCCAAGGTTCTCAAGCAGTGCCCCAGCAGACATACCAACCGCCAATCATGCTGCCCAATCAGGCAGGCCAAGGGTCACTCCCAGCCACCGGAATGCCTGTGTACTGTAACGTCACACCGCCAACCCCTCAGAACAACCTAAGGTTGATGGGGCCACACTGCCCTTCCAGCACGGTTCCTGTCATGTCTGCTAGCTGCAGAACAAACTGTGGGAGCATGAGTAACGCAGGCTGGCAGGTCAAGTTCTGAGAGCTCAGGCTGCCTGCCTTCCACTTCATCAGATGTTAACTCATGGCCTTCAAAAGAAGAGGAGACTTTGACAACTGGCTGAGGACTTCCATATACACTCAACGTGCAAACGATTGCTGCTGGTATTCTGTACAAACTAATCAAAGACTAATACACACATTAGCTGGTTAATGGTGCATATTTCTGTCATGTCTGCTAGGTATGCCTTTCTAGCTTAGCTAGTGACATGAATTCATCAAGGTAAGATTTTCTCCTACCACTGAATACCACTGTGTAGATTACAATATCCCTGATTCGGATTAGTTTTGTACTTTGTGTTGAGTTTGTGATGCTAAAAGTATTTAAAAATATATGTAAACTAAATCACACGGTACCAAAGCTGTAATGGAAAAAGGGAAGAGTTAAGGAATGGAAGGAGTAATTTATATTCACTAGAGAGTTTTCTTTTTTTAAATGGATATATATGGTATTGTAGTGTTTAATCCAAATAAAAGCTTATTTGACCTTATGGAGGAAGGTCATGTTTTTACCACCAGTTTGTTTCCATCTCTCTTTCTATGTGTTGTTTACTTAATTAGTTAATGGTTTCATTAGCAGATAGATGTTAATTATATAGAACGACATTTTCATATTTGAATAGAATGCATTTTGACCACATTTAAACTCAGTGTCTCCTCAAACTCTCCTGATACCCTCCCTCTTCTCAGTTAGCTCCACTGCCTCCATGCACTGTCTGTCTGTCTGTCTGTCTGTCTGTCTGTCTGTCTGTTTTTAATGAGTCAATGAGGACTTTTTTGAGGGGGGAAGCTTTATTTGACTTACACTTCAATATTTTTCATCACTAATGAAGGTCAGGACAGGAACTCAAACAAGGCTGGAACCTGGAGGCAGGAGCTGATGCAAAGCCCATGGAGGAGTGCTGCTTACTGATTTGCTCTGAATCAATGTGTTTCATTAGGGCTTCTTACAGAAGCAAGGAGAGGGGATTGTTCACAGGAGCTTGCACAATTACCTTCTTAGAGGGAAAGTGTCTCTATCCCCTCATCACCATTAACTACGTATAAATCCTCAGAGAGGGACAGGGATTCATAAGCCTCCTCCTCCCATGACAGAATGTTGACAGACTCCATTGTGTGTAGGTATTCAGAGATGCTCAGTCAGGCCACTCTGTATCAGACCTGGGAGACAGTGTTCCAAGAAAGTCTGCTTCTTCTGCCAGCTCTTACATTCTTCCCATCCCTTCCTCTATGATGGTCCTTGTGCCTTGGAGGGATCATATAGAAATCTAATTTTGACTGAACATTCACTATCAGTTTGTGTTTTATTAGTCTCCATGTTATTCTTTCTTGGCATCATCTCATGAACGCTATATGGAAAAGTGGTTCCCAGGCATTTTGAGTTGAATGACGTCTCTCTGAGAGATGCCATAAACAAATATTAGTACCAAGAATATCCCCCCATCTTGATAGCCTCATAAGGGCCATGAACATATTAAGTTAATATCTGTGTCATTGCTTTCAATTTTGGAAATATTGGAGGTGTAGAGCTATACTGTATCTATTTAGGAATTTCTAAATGTTGTTAATACAAATATCTACTCTATATCTAGTCTTGTTCTGTCTTCACTGGGGTTAAACTATGTACCTGGAAGATAAATTTCTTTATATTAATATAGGGAAGGCAGAGCATGATGTCTCCTGTTATACTGAACCATGCACTCTAGTGTACTATAGGTTTGAACAATGAGCCAACATCTCAAAGGCGCTGACATTTGCCCTGGTAACTGAAAAAGAAAGCATATAGAAATTATTTAATCACAAAGGCTAGAACATCTGCAACGCAAATATGCGAAGCCTGTGGCTATCCAATCCCCATGATGTATAATTCCCTATGGAGTCCATGGTTAAAATTGAGTTAGGACAACATTTAAAAATTAATAACTGACCTCTGGACTCTGATTAGCCCTTGGAAAGATGTTTCTTTGAGGGAATGAAACCTCAGAGCTTTCATCTTAATACCACTGGATAATAATTGCTTTGTTGTTTATATTTCCTCCCTAAAAATGAGTTTGGGGAACAGCATCAGGGAAATTCTCATCGGTTTTCATGTGATCACATTGCCTCCTCTGGATTTTTCGTTTTCATGTTGTTTAGCTGTGGATAGAGCTAAGCACTTAAAAACCCTACTTAGTAGATTATCATTTCTTTCTGTCTATAGTTTCTTTCTTCCTTTCAAGGGGGCTTTTATGCTATTCTAATTAACTCTGCTCCTTTCGAAGTCTGCTCCATTTTCCCATATCTGGGTCTACTTAATTTTTCATCAACATAATCCCTGATCATGAAAAGCATAATAAGAATATTTCTTTTTTTTTATTGAGTCATTGAACCAATAACCACACTGTGGAAAGTCAGTACACTGTCTTAGCTAAGATCTTTCCTTAATGCAAGGAGGGTCTTGGCCAATGTGGATTCATTTTCTAATTTTATTTATTTATTTATTTACTTATTTATTTAGTGTGTGTGTGTGTGTGTGTGTGTGTGTGTGTGTACATGTACACACATGCCATGGTGCACATGTGAAAGTTATAGTACAATTTGCAGGAGTCAGTTCTCTCCTACTGTATGGGTTCCTGGGATGGAACTCAAGTCTTCCACCTTGATGGCAAGTCCCTTTACCCGTTTAATTATCTCACCAGCCAATATTCACTTAAAAAAATTCTCTATTTAGCCTTCAGATTTTGACAGTAATGCTAAAGTCAAATAATCCAAACATGAATTGGAATGCTTACCCTCCTCCCATAGAACTCTGGGAAACTTTGGGTTTTGTTTTATAATCTTTAGAATTACTGAGCCACTTAGGTGCATTTAAGCCTTATATACATTAATAGTATAGATGGGTTTTATAGTATATACACCATCATTATATAAGCGTCCTTCAATATTATTTAAATGCCAAGTCTTCTTCCCTGGTACCTAAATCATTTTTTTTTTACATAAGACTAACTATGTAGCTTTGCCTATCTTTGAACTCACTACTTAGATCAGCTTGTGCCCAACTTACAAAGATCCATCTGCCTCTCTGCCTCTCTCCCTCTCTGCCTCTCTGCCTCTCTCCCTCTCTGCCTCTCTGCCTCTCTGCCTCTCTACCTCTCTGCATCTCTCTCTGCCTCTCTCTCTCTCTCTCTCTCTCTCTCTCTCTCTCTCTCTCTCTCTCTCTCTCTCTCTGCCTCTCTCTGCCCCCATGTTGTAAGTAAATGCAATGTATCATCATGCCTTTCTTCTAATATTTTCTTGCACTAAGATATTTAAATTGGCTATGTAGGGTGATGGTTCTGTAACTGGAGCATATTCAGAATTTAATTTATTGTCAAGAGAACACTCAATATGTTTTTCATCTTGGTTAATAATTTTATCACCATCATATCTTAATTACAGGTTATTCAGTTTATAAGCTTAGGTGGAGATATTAATATACAGACACTTAGAAAAGTAAACACATGGCTAGATAATTAAAGTCATCTCTAATGGTCTCTTACACCTCTGTGTGAATGTAAAAGGGCGCACTGGTGACTTATGTAAGGGATCCGAATTACAGAAATAAGATTACATAACTGTGAGTATATTTTGAAGGCCGGAATAGAGCTGTAAATCACCATTAGAAGTGTGAGCCCTTTGTGAAAAACACATTTTTAAAAGCATGATTTGGAAAAATCAAAGACATTGAGTGGAAGCAACAGAAATGGAATTTTGAGCTTTCATAGAGGCATGTTTCGATTTTGGCTCCACTCTTGACAACAGTCAGATTGTGCTGGATCCATGGGCACTCCATCCTCCTCCTCCTCCACCCTCTGCTCCACACACAGGTCCACGAGGAGGACACAGTTGCTGCTCTGCAGTCACTTGCTCACTGACACTTGTATCACAGATGGCTTTGATCACTTAGAAACCAGAGGTGACACAGAAAATGCCTCACCTTCAAAGTGTAGCAGAAATAGGTCTTTGGGGATTCTCAAACTGCAACAGAAGCAATATTTAAAATAAACTGAAAATAAGTGTCTTATTTCCTGAAGTGTTTTCCTTGGAACAGTTTTTCTTTTAAATCTGTGCACATGTAATGTTTTGGGGGCACATCTACACTGCATGCTTCGAGTTTAACAAGCAGGGCATGATAGTTCACACCCAGTACTGGAGGATACAGGGGCAAGCAGATCCCTGAATTCAAGCCCAACCTAATCTAATAAACACACATATATACACGTATACACATATTCATAGGCACACACACACATATAAGCTCTAAAATAATGAGGCAGGCCCGTGCACACCATGGCACACGTGTAGATACCAGAGGTCAGCCTCAGGTGTCAGGCCTTCTGTTACATACTAAGACTAAGTCTCTGGCTCCTTGTTGAGTGTGACAGGCTAACTGAGCTGAAGGCCCCTGAGGAGCCTCCTGTGTCAAGCACCATCCTTGCCTTCTCACTGCAGACATGCTACAATTACAGACACTCCATCCCACACACAGCTTTATGGAGGCGTTGGAGATCAAAACTTAGGTCCTCACATCTATGCAGCAAGCAGTTGACCAATGAGCCTTCTCCTTAAGCCCAGAACACTTTGTGTTCCATACTACTTACAGCTGCTCTGTGAAGCAGGGGGTACTTAGAGCAACTGTAGGGAGAAAAGGGCAGTCAAGGGCAATTAATATTGTTAAAACCTGTGTGGTATCTGGCAACTTTTAATCTATTAACTCATATTATGAATTTCCAAAAGGCAGCCATCATTTTCATAGTTTTGCCGAAAAGTCACCTTCATTCACAGACAATATCAAAAGACAAATGTTATGTGGAGCTGGTTAAGAAAATACATCAGAAGAAGAGATGTCTCCGCAGTTAAGCACACTAGCTACTCATACAGAAGAAATGGTTTCAATTCTCAGCATCCACACGGCAACTTACACCCATCAGTAACTCTGGTCCTCGGGGATCTTATCCCCACTTCTGGTTTCCTTGTAAACAAGGCATGCATATGCTACCCAGAAAAAAACAACAGATATTTTAAACAGGTGTGTGTGAGTGTGTGTGTGTGTGTGTGTGTGTGTGTTACAAGCCAGGAATGGTGGCTCACACCCAGCAGTGAAAAAGGCAGAGGCAAGCAGATATCTGAACTCAAACCCAACCTAATCTACAAAGTGAGAACTTGTCATATAGATATATAATTCATATTCACATATGTTCATGTATTATAATATGAAAATCCTAAAATAACAAAATTAGAACTTGCTTTAAATTCAATAGCAACAATGTCTTATCTCTAAATGCAACACCACAGCCCCACTTCTGACAGCTTTTGGCTTTACTGCACCACAACATGGGATATGAAGGGACTGCTATAAAGCTATATTTCTAGACTATCATTTTTGACTTACTAAAGTTCAAGGATTTTATCTCTATGCTTATATCTATGAATGTATAGTCATGTCAGCATAAAGTGCATGAATACGGTCATT